GGGGTACCCCCGGCGCCCGGGCTCCGCGCGTCCCGACCGGGGAGCTGTGGGCCGGGCCGGGCCGGTAGGAGGCGCCCGGGAAAGGCCCGCTCACCGAATATTATTAACGCGTCTGAGCTCGTGAGGGGTTTGAGCTCCTCCAGGCGAGGGTGTCTCTGCGCCCCTGGGCTCCGAGGAGGAGGGGCCCCGAGCGTGCTGTTTCCCAGCCCCCCAGGGCCCCTCTGAGCAGGACCTGCGCTCAGCTTTGCCAGCTTGATGTCCTGAAGGGGAAGGAGGGAGGAAGCGGGCGGGAGAGGGAGCTGTGGGCTTCGGGAGCCGTCCCTATGCTTTGGGTGTACTTCATTCACTTTCCCCTCCCGCCTGCTAGGATTGCGGATTTCCAGGACGTCCTGAAGGAGCCCACCATCGCCCTGGAAAAGCTCCGGGAACTCAGTTTCAGTGGTAAGAGGCAACTCCGCATTTTCAGAGTTTTCCTTGTGCCGCAGCCGTGGCTGGGATGGAGGGAAGGTGCCCAAGGCCACACCTGCTCCGTCCTGGCAGCCGGCCTGCCTGCCTCTTGGGGCTTCTCCAACATCCTGTGGAGCTGAACCACCAGGGACTCTCCTGAGCGTGGAGGGGGTTCCCAGAGGAGGGACAGCCACAGTTTGCCTGCCTGTGGGCCTTAGGGTGCTTCATGGGCATCTGAGGGATGCGTATGGCTGTGTTACTTCGTCGGAGTCACTGGAGAGGACGAGATGGCAGGGAGACAGTGGAGGGGAGACTTCTTGAACTGAGGCCCGTCTCCCCTCATGGCAGCAGGATTCCTCAGTATAGAATTGGGTTAGCGGTACAGTAAGTAGCTCCTGGTCCTCTCCCTGGCTTGGGATCAAATCCCACTTAGGCGACAGTGAACTTTGGTTAATGGTGAGAAAGTTTCCAGCCTTGTGAGACACAGGCTTGAGGAAGCTGCACCTCAGCAGTGTTCGACTTTGCCCTCACTGGCGTTAACCATCCGGCAAGAGATTTTTTTGCTTATCTCTAAAACATCCCAGGGTGTTCTGTGTAGCTTCTTGTCACTGCTCTGCCTTTGTAACTTTGCCAGTGAGGAATTTGCCAGTGATCCGCTCCCTGCACCCCCCTGCAGGTTTGAGGTGGGAGCATTAGCTCCTGTGCATGGAACACAGGGACACGGTAGCAGCAGCTGCTTTAGCAGGTTTCTGACAGTGTTGCAGGAGAAATCTGTCTTTTTGTTCAGATCTTGGGGGGTCCAGGAACTGTGCTGAGCTGGGGTCTGGCAGCCTTGGGAGGTATCTGAGTGCTGGAGAGTTTGGCTTCTAGAGTCACACAGATCTATGTTTGAGCCCTTGATGTCCTTTTCTCTACAGATGAGTTTCTTTTTCTTTTTTAAAATATGTTTTTATTGATTTCAGAGAGAGGAAGGGAGAGGGAAAAATAGGAACATCAGTGATGAGTCATTGATTGGCCATCTCCTGCACGCCCCCTTCTGGGGATCGAGCCTGCAACCCGGGCATGTGCCCTGACGGGGAATTGAACCTCGATCTCTTGGATCCTAGGTCGATGCTCAACTGCTGAGCCACGCCAGCCGGGTCACATGAGTTTCTTGATCTGTAAGATGACGACAGTGATGCTGATCTTCCGTACTTACTAGGGTTATAATGAGGATTAAGTGTAGTTAGGTCCATAGAGCACAAAGCAGTCAGCATTTGTAGCTTAATTTAATTCTGCTTGTACCTATGGAATTTCTTCGGTGTGCAGCCCCCTGCACCAGGCACTGGGAATGTGAGGCAGATGTTCTTGTCTCTCTGGGGCTTACCCGGCAGTAAGGGTCACAGATGTTAAATGAGTACACACATTATGTTATGCAGTCAGAGTTGTGATGGATGCTTTGAGGAAGCCGTGGAGCCACTGTTCATAACGGGTGACCTGGCTGATTGGGAAGAGGTGGTGGTTGGTACAGAGGAGGGATATCCAGAATGAGAACATTTCAGAAAGAGAGAGCTCTGGGCTGGGGCAGGAAGACAAATACACACAGGATTAGCATCCAGTCTCATAACCTTTGTGGCAGAAAATGGTCCTTGAAGAGTTACTTCTTGCTCCCTCTGCTCCCTGCGGACTGGCTCCAAGGTGGAGGGCTGGGGGTTCTGGGACTCGGGCCTAGGGCGTGACCTCTGCCTGCTGTGTCCACAGGCATCCCCTGTGAGGGCGGACTGCGGTGCCTCTGCTGGAAGGTGGGTGTGCCTGGGGTGGGGCTTCTGCTCTGCCGAGAGTCCCTGGGTTCCCGCATGGGCTGCCCCCGGCCCCAGCCCCTTCTTTCTACTCTGCGCCTTTACTTGCTTTGTCTGGGGAAGCTTTTCTGGGAAGCCCTGGGTTTTTGGTTCCTCTGGGGATGGAACACCTTGTGATGCCAGTGAAGCCCTCTGGGTCCTGGTTCCGAGCAGCGCAGCAGAATGGATGTGTACTGGGACAAAAGGGCTGGGCTTTGTCCGAAACTGTTAGGTGATGTGGCGGTGGGAGCCCAGTATCCTAGATTCCAGCCACTTTGAGCACTAGGTCTTCTTATCACTTGGAAGAGTCTGTGTGAGGGAAAGAAGAGGAAGGGCCTGGGTTGGGATAAAAGAGGGAGCAGCGGGGAGGAAAGGGGAGGCTCTCCCAGCTCGTGCCCATGTTCCAGGGCTGCAGCCCATCTTGTCTCCTCTGGGCATCAGCAGACATTTTCCTTGAGACCTGTCAGCCTCTGCCTACTGTCCAGGGTGGGGCTGGGGTGTCACCAGAGTGCTGCTCCTCTCACTCTGTGCAGATCCTCTTGAACTACCTCCCGTTGGAGAGAGCCTCATGGACCTCCATCCTGGCCAAGCAGAGGTGAGACCCAGAGAAGGGGTGACGGGAGGAAGGGAGGGTCTTGTATCAGACAGAACAGGTGGGGCCGAGCCTGTCCTGCCTTTGGTGGGTGCTTCTCTGCTCTGGGCTCCCCGGGCCCGACTGTTGGGAGTCACGCTTCCCTCCTCATCTCTGCTGCAGGGAGCTGTACTCCCAGTTCCTGAGGGAGATGATCATCCAGCCCGGCATCGCCAAGGCCAACATGGGTGTGTCCAGGGAGGACGTGACCTTTGAGGACCACGTGAGTAGGGGCCAGTCGCAGGTGCTGAGGCTGCAGAGTAGGGAGGAGTGTGGGCTTGGGAGTGGCCAGAGTCCTTCCACTGATGGGGATGCGGCTGGTCTCACTCCCCTCTGCCCCTCCGGTGCCTCCTTTCTTCAGTTGGCTGCTCAGCCCCTGAAAGCCACTGTCTCTCCCCTCCTCTCCCCAGGCCCAGCCAGGAGTATAAGGCTTAGCTGGGACTCTTGCTAAGGAAGCTGGGGCTTTCTTCTCGCCCCTGTTCCCTGACGAAGGGCCTGTGATTTGATGGTTGAAGAAGCCAGAGCAGGGTGGGAGTGAGGACAGACCGCCTCTCTCTGGTGGGAGGCAGCCCCCTTCCTCCTCCAGCACTGAGCTCCGCCCTGGGAGCTTCGCAGTGTGGCCAGTGGAGATGGAGCCAACCCAGGCCCATCCTCCAGGGGTTGCAGTGGGCGACTCAAAGCACTGATGCGTTAGAGTTAGGTTCAGAGAGACATCGAGATATGACAGTGATTTATCTACTCATTCCGTCAACAAGCCTTCAGTGTGCACCTGTTGTATGCAGCATTCCCAAGCCAGAGCAGTGGAGAGAACAGAGTCCTGCGGGCAGGCTGTGCTCCAAGTGGACAGCAGGGCCTGGCTGTCAGTATGGAGTTGGAACGGGATCGGGGGGGGGGCCACGTGAGGCCCGTGCTGCTGCTGCAGCAGCTCACAGGCCGTCTCAGCCACAACTGGGCCGCGGACGGGATTGTGGGTGTGAGGCTGCTGCGCCGGCTTCCAAACTGGCGTCTGCCTCTGGGGACCCTGCTAGGCCAAGGATGGCAGCTTGTTCTCTCCTTGCAGCCCCTCAACCCCAACCCTGACAGCCGGTGGAACACGTATTTCAGGGACAACGAGGTGCTGCTGCAGATCGACAAGGACGTCCGGTAAGCAGGGTGCGGCCGGGGGGCCCTTGGGGCTTCCGGAGGGTGTCCCAGTCTGTCGTTTTCCTCCAGCCCAGGCCACGGGGTCGGTGGGGGTGTGAGGAGCTGCTGCTGGGTGCTCTGGGACATTGGGCCCAGGTCCCAGTGGTGCGGGGCCTGAGAACGGGCTGGCGAGTGCAGTCAGAATGGGGGGGATCCTGTGCTTGCCCATGCCCGGCCTTCTCCTCCCTGCCTCCGTTTCGGTGGTCCCGGCATTTGTAGATTCATCCGACCGTTCCTTCAGCAGATGGGTAGTGAGCCCCCGCTGTGTGGCAATCCCAGTGCCATGCTCAGGGTCGAGCACTGAATAGACAGATACAGTCCCTCTCCCAGAGGAGCCTAGCCTTGGGGGGAAGAGGGGTACAGGCGCTCAATGTGCTCGTGTAACTAGCATTTATGGTAAATGAGCTCGGGGAGGAAAGAGCTCGGGGTGCTTCAGGCTGTCCGGGATGCCCTGCCTGAGGAAGCAGGATTCCCGCTGAGATCTGGGGAGTCAGGTTTTCATGGTATTGTTTGAGTTGAGAACATGTTCTGAACCCAGTTCTGGGGAAGCAGGTCTGTCTTACACTGGTGGTGCGCCTGTGTCTGTCCGCAAATACGCGTGAGGATGTGGCTATATGTAATAATGGCTATAATGCCTCTTAAAAACTGTAATGCTTTTTTAAGTAAAATGTTATTAACTTTTTAATAAATGTCTTTTGGGGTGCTGAGTAACAGCACTCTCTCCCGTTTCCTTCTGGCAGGAGGCTGTGCCCAGACATATCGTTTTTCCAGAGGGCCACCGAGTACCCCTGCCTCCTCATTCTGGACCCTCAGAATGAGTTTGAGACCCTTCGTAAGCGGGTGGAGCAGACAACACTGAAGTCCCAGACAGTGGCCCGGAGCCGGAGCGGGGTCACAAATGTGAGAGGCAGCCTGGGGGCCCCAGGGACTCCCCAGGTGGGGAGGAGGGCAGACGTGGAAGTCCTTGGGCAGGAGGGAGCATGGTGTGTTCAAGGTATGGAGGAGTCCAGTGTGGCTAGAGGCAGAGGGGAAGGGAGAGAGGGTCACTGGAGGACGCTGGAGAGGTTGGTGGTGGGAGGCCACACGGGGCCTTAATCTGAGGGCTGGGGAGCCCGGTAGCATTCTGAGTAGGGCCATGGTCTGCTTTTGTGAAAGATCACTGTTGGCGCTGTGGGTGTTGATGGAAGGGGCAGGAATCACGGAGAGGGTGTCGGGGAGGTGGCTGTGTTGTTCAGGCAGGAACGGGTGGGAGTTGGGGCTGGGGTGGAGCGAGGACAGATCTGAGGGACTGAGGAGGTAGAACTGATAGGACTTGTGCTGCACAGGTCACCCTGAGTGTGAACCATCTCCTACAGGTTCCTGTAACTAGCCAAGTAGGTGTATAATCTTATTTTTAACACATACTCACTGCTTTGGTCCCTGGAGCTCTGACTTCTTCACAACTTTTCACTCCCCTCCAACAATGGAAAAATCCTCTGCAACCTGCAAAAAGCTAGACAGTTGCTGCTGCGGAGGCTTTTCCCCTAAGCGGATGGCTGACCAAGGCGCGCTCTGCAGGAGAGTAGCCACTTCCCGCTGCAGGGGTGACGGGCAGTGACAGCTGGTCCCGGGGCTCTGTGTGCCTGTAGCAGCTGGGTGTGCTAGAGGTGCAGGATGCTTGGCTAGCTGACCGCAGGGCCTGCTGTGTGGGTGTGGGCAGCCCTCCTCGGCTGCCAACAACCTGGCTGCAGGACCTGGCCTCTGTCATTCACCTCACTAAAGCCACTGGGGGCTGAGAGCCATGCTTCTGCCCATTTTAGGTTTGGACCTTGTCCCGGGGGCAGAGCACCTGACCAAAGCTTCATTCCTAGACTCTGGACCCATGGCAGGGCAGTGTGAGCTCATGCTGACCATCTATTTAACTCTGGGCAAGTGATCCTGGGCTTACCTTCCTGGGCCCCCGCCTCCTCTTCTGTAAACTGGGTGTGATCATGTCTGCCCTGCCTGGCTTTGAGTTGCCAAGATGAATGAGGCCATGGCGTGCAGATTCCTGGAGAGCTGGGAAGGAGGCCTGGACCTCAGGCGCCGCAGTCAGCTAGGCTGGGACCAGATCCCAGCGCCACCACCTAATGCAAGAGGTGACACGACCTAACTTTTCTAGCCTGTGCTTCCTCGCCGTGAGAGCGATGCTGAGAGAGTATTCCTGGTGGTTCAGAGCTTCCCCTGGAGGTGTGCTTGCGGAGCGCTGCCTTGCACACACAGCTCTCCTCCGCAGATATTAGCAACGTGTGTGCGCACGTGTACATGCATGTGTACGAACACGTGCACGTCCAGGGGCCTGCACTCCAGGACGGTCCCACACCGTCCCGCCCGGGCTGGCCTGTGGCTCTCGTACAGGTGACCCCAGGCACTGAGTCTGCAGAGCCCCCGAGGGTCCCGATGGGCACTGGCGTTGGGGCCTCTGCTCTGTTGCAGGAGCTCTAAGCAGGGATTAGCCTCTTCATCTCCGGGCTTTTTCTTACGGAAATTTCGAAACATTCAGAAAAGTGGAGGAAAGAGTACTATGCACACTTGCACACTCCACCTCAGTGTAGCACTGCTAGCTCTTTGCCTTGTTTTCAATTAGAGAGTAGGGTGCGGTGTCTGCCCTCCTCCCGGAGGACTTCAGGCAGCTCCTCCCGACACTGGCGCATCCGGGAGATGAGCAGCCATCTGCCCCACGAGTGCATCGTGCCCTTGGCCGCATGAAGAATATATACGTGTTTTTACTTCCACGCCGGGACCCAGTCCAGGTTTTTGTGTCACATGGGGGCTGTTTCCTTAGACTCTTGGTCTGGAGCAGGCCTCCTCTCTCCCCCAGCCCCACAGCATTGCGCTTCCTGAAGACTCTTAGCCAGTTGTCTGTTTCTGACATATTTAAGGTTTTATTTTCTAAATCGAAGTATAAGTTACATACAGTAAAATGCACAAATCTCGGGAGTACAAGATTTTTCTTACGTATGTACCTGTGTGACTGCCAACCAGAACAAGACACAGAGTGTTTGTGTCACCAAGAGGTGTCCCGGCCAGGCAGTCCCCTCCCCGAGAGGGAAGCACTGTTTATGTCCGTAGGTCAGATTTCAGTCCACTGTCTTGTAGAATGTTTCACACTCTGGATCTGTCTGCTCGCTTCCTCCTGGTGGTGGCGGACGGGTTCCTCTGTGCCCTGCGTTTCCCATAAGCAGGAGGCTAAGCTTAGGTTTAATGGTAGATGGTGCTGGGAGAACACATTGTCCGAATGCCACCCGTCGTCTTAATGGGCCCCCCTTCTCCCCAGATGAGCTCCCCACACAAGAACGCGGCGCCGTCCTCCCTGAATGAGTATGAGCTGCTGCCCAATGGCTGCGAGGCCCACTGGGAGGTGGTGGAGCGGATCCTGTTCATCTATGCCAAGCTCAACCCTGGCATCGCCTATGTGCAGGGCATGAATGAGATTGTGGGGCCCCTCTACTACACCTTTGCCACCGACCCCAACAGCGAGTGGAAAGGTAACAGCTCTGGGCTGCCCACACCCCTTGTGGCCGGCTCCCTAAAAAACCAGGCCAAGGAAAGCCAGGCTGATGGGCTCTGTCAGGCTGTGCAACGCACATCCCCTCTCCGGGCCTCCATTCTCCCCGTCAGATAAGGGGGTTTGCCTGGGTCCTCTCTCAGATCCACTCTGGCTCAGACTTTCTAGAGTGTTGGGAGTGTGCGGCTCTCTTGATATTTGTAACTGAGTTTCTCATAGGGCAGGTGAGCTGTATATACAGGGAGCTCAATGATAGAATTTAAGTAAATAACAACTTGAAAAGCGTCATCGGAAGAGCATGTAATCAGCTGCTAAGCGGGTACAGTGCTGCCAGAAGATGGGAGAAGAGAGAGGCGCTGTCCTTAGTCTGGGGACAGAAGCCATGGGGTGCGGAGACTTGGTGAGACTGAGCAGTGACGGAGGGGAGGCTCCTGCAGGCGAGGGGTGGGCTGGGGCTCAGGAGGCACCGGCTCCCCCTTGGCCACCCCCACCCTGCCGTCTCGCCCTCCCAGAGCACGCTGAGGCCGACACCTTCTTCTGCTTCACCAACCTCATGGCCGAGATCCGGGACAACTTCATCAAGAGCCTGGACGACTCGCAGTGTGGCATCACCTACAAGATGGAGAAGGTCTACTCCACCCTGAAGGAGAAAGACATGGAGCTCTACCTGAAACTGGTGAGGACCCCGCGCGGGCCAGGCAGGGGGCCGGGGCACAGGAGAGCACACCCTGAGCGTCGCTGTGCAGGGCGAGCTCTGCTTGAGTCTGGGGACTGGAAGTGGCGGTGGCTGCTGCTGAGGAGCCCTGGCCCACTGCTGAGACCCAGCGCAGGTGCTGGGACCAGGCAGGCTGGCAATGCGGGGAGTCGATGTGGTGCCCAGCGTGTGCCGGGCACAGGGCGAGGCATTTACCACAGGCCCAGTTCAGCCTGTTCATCCCCTGAGAGAAGATGGGTGAATTTCATTTTTAAAAGTTGAGAGTAATTTTTAAAAATTTTAGGGGTATTTCATATTTCAGAAAACATTTCAGTAAAAAGTTACATATAAACAGAAACAGTTTTGGGAATAAGAAAATTATATAAAGGTCTTTTTAAACAAATATGAAACTATGTTTTTGCGGTTTTGTTTTTATAATTTTTTTCTTATTTTTATTGATTTGAGAGAGAGAGGAAGGGAGAGGGAGAGAGAAAGGGAAACATCAGCGTGAGAGCAGAACATCGATGGGCTGCCTCCTCCACACCCCCTACTGGGGATGGAGCCTGCAACCTGGGCACGGGCCCTGACCGGGAATCGAACCAGCAACCTTTTGGTGCACAGATGACACCAGCCCACTGAGCACACAGGCCAGGGTTGTGCAGTGTTCTAAAGAAATCTGAGCTGTCATAAGTCTAGAGAGCTTATATAAGTTTGGGTTTATGGCTTCTCTTTAAAAAAACCAGATGACAGCATTGGCTGGCAGCAAGCAGCTGCCTGTTTAACTGAGTGAGGCTCTCTAGGGACCCGTGCCATCCCTTGGGTGTGCCTGGCACTCACCCCTGGCCTGCTGCCTCCTCGGGTAGGTTCAGGGCCCGCTGTTTATCTGAATTCACATCTAAAGACTGTGGTGTCACATGGCAACCAGCCAACGTGGATCTTGCGCCTGCCCCACACCTCTGTCTCCCCAGCAAGAGCAGAACATCAGGCCCCAGTTCTTTGCCTTCCGCTGGCTGACGCTGCTGCTGTCCCAGGAGTTCCTGCTGCCCGACGTCATCCGCATCTGGGACTCCCTCTTTGCTGACGACAGCCGCTTTGACTTCCTCCTGCTCGTCTGCTGCGCCATGCTCATGTGAGTGGCCGCGGGGGGCGGGGGAGTGCTGCTCTCACCAGGCTGGAGGGGGCCACTGGGATCCAAAGTCACCAGGGTGGCGAGGATGAGCATGGAGGGCCAGCTGCACCTGCTCTCGCGCAGCCCAGGTCCCAGCGCCTGCTGCTTGTTTCCTTAGATTGATCCGGGAGCAGCTGCTGGAAGGGGACTTCACTGTGAACATGCGGCTCCTTCAGGTAAACAAGTTCAGTTCAGAGGCACGAGCTCAGTGTTAGCACGAGGCAGACACTCACCGAGCACTCAGCCCATGCCAGCCGCCATGACAGGCTGGGGTCGGAACAGCAGAGTGTAGCAGGGCTTAGAGTCTAGACCCCTGCCCAGCCGGCGTGGCTCAGTGGTTGAGCGTTGACCTATGAACCTGGAAATCATTCGATTCCTGGTCAAGGCACATGCCTGGGTTGTGGGCTCAACCCCCCAGTGAGGGGCATGCAGGAGGCAGCCGATCAATGACTCTCTCATCGATGTTTCTCCTTCCCTCTCCCTTTCTCTCTTTGAAATAAATAAAAACATTTAAAAAACAAAACAAAACATGGGCTGAGCGGTCAGGCAGCATCAGGGTCACATCCTTGCTTGGCTTTGCTAGTCAGGTGACCTGAGCCAAGTGACAAGCTCTCTAGTCCTCAGTTTCTCACCAACACCTGCCCCAGGGTTGGTTTTCAACAATTTCATTGAGTAGATTTGTAAAATGGGCTAATCACAACCCCTTCACTGGGCTTTTGAGGTGCCCCTGTGAGCTAATATACGGACAGTGTCCAGCCCGGCGCCAGGTGGGGAGAGGTGGGGCAAGAGTGGCCCTGGTCCTCCGGAGGGGCTGGGAGACCTCCGGGCGCTGCTGGGTGGGTCGGCCACGTTAGCGCTGCGGTGAGTGCCATGTTAGCTTCACGTGGGGGTTATAACCTGTGGCCCCTGCCTTGGAGGCCCAAGGTCCAGCGTGGTGACAGGTCCCAGTGGGAACAGCACAGGTGTGACGGGTGGAAAAGGTTGAGCTGACTCGAGGTCTCTCTTGGCCTTCCCGTGCCCAGGATTACCCCATCACAGATGTCTGCCAGATCCTACAGAAGGCCAAGGAACTCCAAGACTCAAAGTAGCCCGGCAGCAGGAGGCCCAGGTTTGGGAGAGAAGCCACCACCAGTCCCCGTACCCTGGCTTCTGGGACATGAAGAAGCCTTTGGGATCCCAGCCGAGGGGAAGCTGCAGGACTGGCCCGCTCCAGGCCTCTTCACCTGGCTCCCTCCCCGTAGGCCGCTCCCACTGGGGGCCCACTGTGCCACGCTCCTTCCTGACCCCGAGCCCTGAGCCCTGGCTCGCTCTCCACTCTGCACCCTGGGACCCTTTCCTCAGGCTGCTGAGCAAGATTGAGCTCCTGAAGTGGTTTCCTGGGGCTGGGGCAGGTTGGGGGCGCTGGGGGCTGCAGAGGCCCCTCCCTGCCTCTGCTCTGCTGCTCCCTCCCCTGCTCTGTTGGGGAAGGTGTTTGGCAGATGAGCCAGAAACCACCTCTTCTGGCGGTTGGTGCTTGGGCTTGTCCAGGGGGAAAGTGACGCTGAGGCAGCTCAGAAGCTGCAGGCCCTGGCCAGGCCCTGCCCTGCTCACCGAGAGTGTGTCTGTGTGTCTGTCTCTGTCCTCCAGGTCTCCGCCCCTCTGTATGTCTGTCCATGCGGACGTGGGGTGGGGAGGGTGTCTGAATTCCTCTGGGTCTCAGCTTCTCTTTCTCTGCCCCCCCCCCCAGGTCTT